TTTGACAGTCCTTTATAATCTCTAACCTTACAGAATTTATTAATACTTTTAATAAAAAAATCTCCATAGCAAACCAGAAACTTCATATTAGAAGAGAACCCCAGAAGTTTCAGAATTAATACTTAGTTTAGATAAGCAACCAGAACTTGAAATGCTGATCCAAAGTTTGTCTGAACTATTTTGAACTTGATTTCTAAGTCTAAGAGAGTCTATTTTTAGAAGATTTACTCATAGAAGCTCTTTCTATGGACTTTTCAAAAATTGCTGGGACAACAGCCTCTCTCCAGCAACTGAGCAGTTCTAGAACCTGTTTAATCCCCAGGTTAATGAAAATCTCAACAATATTAAGCATTACAAAAGAACACTGCTTTGAGATGCCTGAGAAAAGGGCTGCTTTCAGAGCAACAAATTTTTGTTTTCTTGTGTCATTACAATCTAGAATATAAAACACAGGAGATAGAAAAATATTTCGTTTTTGTTGTGAATAACAGATTTCAGCAAACTATGTTTAACTGCAAGTGTAAAGTCATGCAAATGTACATACCTTATCCAAAGTAAGAAAACAATTGAACAAGTAACCAACAATTTTGACATGTAGTTGTTCATTTGTGTATGTTAATTCTTTTTCTTCTGACATTCAGATATTAAATTACTTTGTATCAAATCAGGCCAAATATACGTGAGGAATGTTTCCTGCATTTACTCTGGATCAAATCAGAATATACTTCTTACATGTTTGTGTATATTCAGTGAAAAATCTGTTTATCTTTTCACATTTTTTTCCCCCTCAATCTTCTGGTACTATCTTGCTAAGCTGGTAGGTGGATTGAATTTTGTTTTCAAATATTAACTACAGCTTCCTGAGCCTTATTAAAAAACCTATTAATAGTAACTCTATCTTTTTTACATGCAGACTGCTTTTCAATACTCCATGTCCTCCTTTCCTTAAATGCAGGGATATTACAATCCCCTATGAATCGAGTCCAATATTACTTGCTGTTATATGTGATGACTTCGGTGTTTCTTTTTTCACCCTCCCCATCATGAGTCACTTTACATTTTATTAAAAATAATTGTTGATATAAAATTATGCTACAGGAGAGAGAAATGAACGGTCATAGTTGATTCTCTAGCTGTTTTCTCCCCATTTATATGGAACAATACCTAGGCATAAAATCTAAGATTAGGGAAGATGAGAACAATGCAATATAGGGAACAAGTCAAAATTTCCTTTGTAAGTGGAGTTCATTGCTGTTTCATTTTTGTTTTAAATTTAATGGATTTTTACTAAAACTATTCAGTCAAACTTCACAATGATGACTTTCTACTCTTTACTTTCATATTTCAAAAAAAACCTTTACTTTACTTTCATACATCATATGAAAGAGCTGTCAGCCTTGTTTTAAAAATAGCATTTACAAAATACGGATTAATATAGGTTGCAACACCACAGCTGTGATTGTGTTTGGGAAGTGAATAGGGAGAACTTACCACGAATCTATATACCTCAACCCACATTTTTAGGCTGATGTTGAATGAAGTAGCTTCTTCATGTTGAAAAAGAATTTAAATTAATGTGTTAGAGTTCTGGTGCATTTGTGCAACTATTTAATATCCCCCAGCAGGGATTTTTCTGGCTATCCCTGAGTATAATGAGATGAGCAAGTTGGAGAAATCCTAAAATGCAGCACATGCAAAAATTTGCAAGATCCTTTACAGGGTAATGGCCATTTTTTTTTTCCATTTTAAAGTCAGTCTATAATAATGGGGTATTCTACTTTTGTTGGTATTCTCTTAATAATGGATGTGCTTCTGGTTTTGCATGATATTGTTCTCTATTATGTTATACATGTGAACATACACTTGACCAGTTGGAATGCCCCAAGCATTACAGCTTGCTTATTAATTTCAAAGATTATTCCAGTCTTTGGAAATACAGAATGTACAATTCTCAAGTGAAGTGACTATTGTAAAATCTAAAATTTACTTAACCCAAGCAAGCATACAGGAGGGTCTAGCTGGTAGCCACATAGAGTTAATCCACTTATGCTTCTGCTGCTCTGAATCAGTAATAACCATCAACTTCATGCTGTAGATAAACTGAGTTGATTATCAGTCAACAGAAAAACAAGAAAGCTTGATTACTGTGGGATCTTTCAATTAGACCTAACATCATTAACTTCTCACGATTAAATTTGGGTGCTTCCTGTTTCCAAGCCTTAGGAAGTCTTTCTGGGAAAGCAAAGGAAAAGTCAGTGCCATGTATCAACCATCCGAACCCTGGTTACTTGAGAGAGCAAACAATGCTGTGACAGCTGGACCTGTTTGCAAAAAGTATCTTCAGTGTCAGTACATCCGTCACGACTAAGGCAATTTACTGAAATGGAGCTAGTGCTGGTCAAAGATGTTACACTTTAAGTCCTTAAGCCTTCAAACCTGCATTCATCTGCAGAGCAAGCATAATAGATCCACACTGTCTCACCTCAACCTTGATTTGAAGACAGTAGATCTAAAGATAACAGGGGAGGTCATGCTCTGTGGCCACAATTAAAAGCAGTTTAAAATATGTTAACAAGGAACAGGTTTTCAGAAGAATTTCGTACTAGCAAGAGCAGAATGATGTCTCCTCAAAGGTCCTAAGATGTTAGCTATCATGGAAGTACCTCAAGTTCAGCACCTTTCTATGATCCCCCAAGGTGCCACCTCAAGGTTTTGGTGCCCAAATACCTTTAGCAATTCATCTCCGTGTGCCTTTTCCCATATTCTGACCTCTATGAGCACATATTTATGTGTAACTATAATTGACACTGAGCATTAATCAGACAGTGGTATGTTTTAGGCCTTAACTGCACTGTTTGAACTGCTGACCTTGAGAGAAAAGGTTTTATATACCATTCCCAATCCCTTAAGTCTTCCTGTCACTGCAAAGCAAATACTTGACTTTTATGGATGGATTCAGTTTCAAGTCTGTTGTTTTCCTAATGTTTTGTTAAAATTAAAAGGTGGTTTTCAGGGAAAGTTGGTAAACATAGGCACATTTTTTATTCGAGATTATTACCAATACAGACATGCATTTGTAAAAGAGCGTTTGGTTGGAAATAAGTGATAAAATCCTGCACGTAGGAACATTGTCTGTAGAAGCATCCTGTGAACTTGGGGATAAATAATACCAGAAGCAACAGCAGATCATATCTTTTCCCTTTTGCCAAACAGTTTACAATTGTTGGTAAAGACTTCTTTAACCAAAGCGATATGAGGTCACTCCTTCAGATCTGCAGTGCACACAGCTCTGCAGTTGCTGCAACCACATAACTCTCAACCTTCCTTGAAGGAACTGTTTTGCTCCTTCCTATGCTCATGTCCTTTCTTAGTTTTTCTCACCATTAATCTCACTGGAATTTTTATACTCTGTCTTTTCAAATATTTAATGGCACAAACACGTAATTCTCATGAGTGTACATTTAGAAGATGAGTACGTGACATCAAAACAAGGTACAAGGAGATACATGGAAACTAGCAACGTTGAAGCTATTAAAAAATATAGCCTGGTACATTGAAAGCTAATGTAGCCAGAGTCACAACATGGTGACTGTATGTGTACATAATGGAAAGAAGGTTTTTTCTGTATTTTCAAATAATAATTATAGGACTTTGAAATTACATTATAAAAGTTAATCTTGCTAACAATATGAAATGTGCGCATTAGTATTAACCACTATGCTTAGTAAAAAAGAATGAGATGCTGAAGTGGAGCAGCTGAGCATATGGTTATAATATTCAATTTGTTCTCAAATATGTTAATTTAATTTTTTTATTTTAGACTGTTTTCTACAGGTAGGTAAGTTTAGCATTTCTGGTACTGCTAGACAGGTTTCTGTTTCTTAAATGTGGCTCAGAGCCATACTTACTGCCAGATCAGTTAACAGTTACCACGTTAACTGTGATTGCATGAACTTCCAAAGGAAGACTGGCTTTGAGGGCATCTGAAACCTTTTGCACAAGTTACATACGGCTTCCAACCATATCAACTGAGTGTTAATATTAACAAAGGGTTTACACAAGGAAGCAACAGCCAGGAGCTCAGGATGCTGTGTTGGCATACAGTACTTTAGATGCATGAATTTGTGCTTTAGTGAAACAGCTACTGAGGCACCACAGCTGACAGAAGAAAACCCCACATAATTAATAGAAACCAGATTTAAAAAAACGGACAAAAGAAGCTGGATGATGTCAAATAAAAAAAGACAGAGCAAGTAAGCAATTAAAAATTGGTTATTAGCAAGAATAAGCAGCATAGCTGGGAAAGCCAGACTTTAAGATGAATTCTGTAGTGCCACAGCAGGCACATCTCCTCCCATGAAAGCCAATGGGAGTTTTATTGCCAACGAATCTGTCCATTAAAGTTTTGTAATGATACTCTTCCTTACTCTGTGTATACAGTGAAACTCTCCAGTTGCTTTAAAATTACGCAATATTGTTTCAAACTCAGCAAGAACATATGCTCATGGGACTGAGCTGAAAACCAAAGAACTATTGCAAAGCATTTCCACTCCTTTTTCCCTTTGAAAGTTTTGTTGCACTTTTTCCCCTTCTCTTTTTTCAATGAGGCTTCCAAACCTCTAGACACAATCTATTTCCTAAGAGGGCTAATGATACCTGATGGCAGCAGGATACCAAAAATAAAACTAAACCCATAGAAGATACTTATTCATTTAGCCTCGAACAACATATATAAAGTTATATATATATAAAAAAATAAAGTGAATATAAGGCACCTTCCAAATTCACAGCTCAGCCATTTTCAGACCTTAAAAAAAGCTCATGAAACTTAGTTGTTTTATAAACACATTACTCTTGAAATCATTTGAAGAAAAATCTGACAAGTTATTGAAACAAAGCTGAAGAATACATTTTATCTCCAATCAGTTATGGAATCACTTTCATAAGAAATTGGGGGAAACATAAAAAAACCCAACCTCTACAGTTTATGAGCATCCTACCTTTCTTCTGCGCAGTTTCACTTGACTGTCTGAATACTCTTGTGTGGTCAAATGATCCCTTACATGTAAACACTGGATGTCTTCAGCTGAACAGACATTTGAAAGGCATTTGTTTTCAGGGGCCACTTGAGGTTCTGTGAAACCACTTTCATCCAGACCATTTTCCACTGCCGGGATGAGAGAGCAAGAAGATTGCATAAGGCAGTCGCTGGATTCCACTGCTGAACATAGTTGTCTATCGCTGCTGGTGCATGATTCAGAAGAAATCCCACTCTGTACCACATCACACTCAGACTTTCCAAGCCCATCTCTAAAAGCATCAGGCTTCCGCCGCTGTTGTGCAATTACAGCAGTGTGAAGCAGCTGCTTCCCAGGCATTATAATTTCTTTCACATTTGGAGAGTTAGAAAGATTTTCTTTCTCTACATCCACTACTTCATTTAAGCCCCCATAACTACAAAGCGCCAGGCTTTGGCCAATACTGCCACAACTTTCATCTTCTTCCATCTCCTTAGGAGCTGTGTCACAGCCAGGTTCCTTACTAATATCTCCAATTATTCCAGGTGCTTCCGTTGCCTTGTTACTCTCAGTCATTGATACCATCTGCGATAAGGAGCCTGCTCCATTTAAATCCTTCTCTTCATGTTTTGGTTCCCTTTCTACAGCAGTGATGGGGTAATTAACACTATCCAGGTTGAGTGCCGAATAGTCATCATCGTCATCAGACACATGGACTAGAGTTTCTGTGCTGGCCTCCAGAAAATGCTCCTCATCCTCATGGTTATCGTTTTCATCCACCTCTTTTGAAACACTTCCCAGCTGCTTTGCAGGGAAGCCAATCAGCTCTCCACTATAGCAACACTCTGGAAACGAAGAACATTTTTCTTTCCGGTCCACGCTCAAAACCTCATCTTTTTCCATACTTGTCTGCAAGTTATCAGCTACAAGTCCATGACGACATGCTGTGTTATACTCCGCAGACTCCAAAGCCAATCCCATCCACTGGGTCACATGCTCTTCCCAGCTTTTCTTTCTGATTGCTAGAGACATGTCATAACAGTTCAGCAGCAGGCTGCAACGTACCTTCCACGGAGGACCAGAGGAGATGTCATGGCTGCTGTGCGCTGCTCCAGAGGGAGAGAGGGTTTCGTCATTTTAACATCTGCAAGAAATAAAAAAAGATCGGGTTATTGAATCAACTCCAAATAAAAAAAAAGGGAAGGAACAGTTTAAACAAAAGTGTAAAAGCGAGATAAGACTGCGGGACCAGGACAGGAATTTAGAAGACTGTTTTGTTTAAAGTTTTAATACTTTTCATACAAAACTTGACAGCACTCATAATTCAGTATAACTTTTTTTTCTGATTACTCGCTGATATCAAGTAAACAAAAATGGTATAAACAAGCACATGGGCAGGCAAGTAGCTCAGGAGCCAAAATGTGACAATAAGTATCTCTTCACTATGTCTGTCATAAGATATTAATTTTCATGGATCTAAATGGCATTATGTCTTATGATTGCGTTGCACACAAAGTTATTTTGTATTTCTTCCTCAGCCAGAGGTACCCGAGGAGTGGAGAATTCTGGCTGTTTCCCAAAGAGGCAGAGCAGAACTTGAGGGTTATTCCAAATTTACCAAAGCTATAAGCCACTTATCTTATGAGTAGCTTTGGCTCATTCAGTTGCTTTCATTTTTGTTGTTATTGTTTCACTCTCTATAGGACACGTTGTAATTACAAGTGTTAGATGAAACTGCAGGGGAAATCAGCAGTTGTGTAGAAATAAAAAATACAACCCTAGGAAAACTAATTTAAGCTTTTGGCATATTCCTTGCCTCAAATACGTCATAAAACCTGAAAGAAGCCTTGGTGAATATATTCGGGATCTACTAATGTAAGGAAAGGAGGAAGCCCTTGTTTTGGATGGGGCTCTCCAGAAGGGTGGCTTGTGCGCCAGCGTGGTCAGCCCTAACTGCGCTGCTCGCCTGGACTGTCGGCCTCGTGCCAGAGCCTGCTGTCCCCGCTCCATCACCTAGGTGGGGGTTTTGCGCTGGCCGCTGCGTCAGGCCTTCTCGGCGGTGGCATTTGAGATACATGAAATCTTGTGACATTGCACGTATGAATTAGCACGAAGAAAACACCTCGCATTAATTTATGCATTATAAAACATAATGAACAAGTTCTTTGTCAAGTAACAAACCAGAACTTCTGGCCCGTAAAACATTAGAGGTTCAAGGAGCAGACGCTTCTACTTTTCACTCCCTACATAAGAACTGTCAGCACTTAGCATGGATCTGCTTATTGATTTCAGCAATAAAGAAGATTAAGTACTGAGTTTGTTCTGGGTCATTTCAGTCCACTAAGGCAAATTCTGATTGCCCACCAGGCCGCAAAGCTGCCTTGACAAATCACATGCCTGAAGGTATAAAAGTATTCATCTTGAAAGAAATGCAGAATTATGCCTGTGCAACTGGACCTCAGTAAATTATGTCTTGACAAACTGACTTTCAGGATAGAGTTGTACACGCTCCTAGGTCTTTAACCTTCTTTGAGGATGGCAGGCTTCATTTCACATTCACATTTTCCACCTCTGGAGACTGTGCTTAAAAAGAAAATACATTCATAGGGTAAGAGAATTCCATGCACAAGTCATTAGCGTGTAGGAGGCTGAGGAAAACGGAAAATAACACACAGAACCAGGCCGAAAAAATGTATCTGCTTTCAGAGGCAAAATTTGGTAGTAAGAAGTTAATACAACTTTAAAAGTCTGTTTTCTTTCCTGGTTGAATATGAGAGCAAGCCTAAATATTAAAATGTAAAGTTAATTTACTGTGTAAATTTGCAGTGCATTTACATTCTTATTCTGACTTAATTTCATATTTTTATTCTTCTACTATTTCTAAGTGTCTGTGGTCCAAAATCACCACAGGGTGTTAATCAATAATGATAATACTTTTAACTTCTGCTGTACCTTTTCCTGATGGACCCTAAAGCTCTCCTGAAACAATTAGTTTTAAAACAATTTAAATTAGTTTTACAACACTGTTGTGTTTTGTTTTGACCTCTGAAAAGGGGCTCTATGACTTCTGCTGCCCTCTGTTAACATTGCTTGGAGTTGCACCTGGGTGCAACTCATTTGTACCTTCCCTCTCTCTTCCCCGACTAGAACAGTAGCTCCATATACTTTACAAAAAATTAAACACGGTTACTACAGCCATATAGGGAAATTTCTGACAAAAGTCAAGAAAAGACACCAGTAATATTAAATGTAAAAAGCTAAAAAATACAACTCCCTAATGACATATGTGCATCCATCTATGTAAGATTTAGACTGCTCTTTACGTACAGAAGGCAGGCATTCAAAGAGTTAATGGGTGTGTGTTAGTCTTGCTGCTGCTAAATGGAGTTACACGTGTGCAGAAAGGCGAGAACAGATCCCTTACTGTTTTTCATTTTTTGGATGTGGAGAATTATATTTCATGGGGGATGAAAAACAAATAAATTTTACTTTAGGAACCCCCTTGTTTTACTTGCACTATCACTAGTTTTGGCTGCCTCATAGACTGCAGAAAAAATGATTAAACAGGAGAATATCAAATACTTTGCTTGAAATGCAAGACAAACACATATATGACAAGGGCACGTTCATTGTTCTTTAAAATATGAGCTTATGTTAGTGCTGAGTATGAAAAATTTACCTTACCTAGGCCCCCTCTCCAGGAAGCTTCAGCTCCCAATCCCTGAAATCCCCTCATTCCCATGGTACATGGAGGAGCCCACAGTTTGGTGGAAGCTTACTTTTCTTCTGCTCCCCTTCCATTCCTCAAAGTCTGCATTATGTGCCACAATTCAGCTTAGAAATTCTTTTCCTGCTATAATTGCTTGACAGTTATGGGCCAGCAAGGACCTTTTTTCTCTCTTCTACCTCTGTAACTGGAATAACCTATTTCGCTTGCACTCACATGCAGGCGCACGAGCTGCGTTTTGGAGGATTCACCACTCCAGACATCCGAATGAGTTTCATTACGTACTGTTCACCACGGAAAGAAGCATCCCCCTTTCTCCCTTTCCATCATTAACATCCCACAACTAGAAACCTTTACATCTGGTTTTTCCAGATTTTTAAGACAGGCAGATGAACTCTTAGCAGTCTGTTGAAATGTTTTGTAGAGTGAAAAAACCTTTTCTTCTAGTCAAAGCTTCTGTCAGTATGATACAGTCCACTCAGCTGCTCCCATAATTCAGACTCATATTTTGCTTTTACTTTTCAATGGCGCTAAGCTTGGTATCGCTATTAACTTTCAGAAGAATAAGGTTTGAAACAAAAGATAAATGATAACAACTTCTCCTGGACAAAAAAGTCTTGGTCCTGGGTGACTTAAGGAATATTGGCAATATTGACTCAGTAGGCAATTCTTGACCAAAAGAAATGGAAGTGAGCAACGGGCGATCATGCTGCAACAGAATCCTTTTCAAGTACCCTCTATGATGCTTCGTAGTGTTTACAAAACAAGATGTCATTTTAGATGGATTTTGTAATAATTTACTGCCTGTCTCCTTTCACTGTAATCACAGAAATGAAAAAGAGGGCAAGCTTTCATGTTTGTTTATTTTGGGAAGTTTTGTATCAAGTCTCACGGAACTGATAGTTACTTTGCAGCAGATAAAGCACAGAGTGAAGTGATGTATCAGATGAACTGGTAGGCTCTCCTATAATTAGACTATCTAGCATTTTCCTTCAAGGAGGATTGCTGTGACTTTTTTCTGAGAAGCTCAAACTAAACTGTTTCCAGCAGGCTTTAGAAATACAGACAGAGAACTGTCCTTGTTTTATCTCATAAAATTCCATTCAGGTTTGGCTGTGCTGCACATTTTTCAAGATGCATTTTATCTTCTCTCTCTTCCCTCCTCAAGGAAATGTGGTGGCCTACAAGAAGTATCTTTAAACAAAACAGACCCAATACCTATGACTGACACCCTGTGAAAGCTGCACAAGCCGCAGCAGAAAGGCATAGGAGTTGGAGCTAGATGGGAGAATGGAAAGAGGAGGAAGGAGACTTGCCTGAATGTCTGTATCCGTGCTACTCAGACCTGTCAGAGACCCAGGTCCCCTTCTGGGGCACAGGACGAGACATGGAAACCTCCTAGTTACAAGAGTGAGGAGGTAGGGGAACACAACCAGGGGTCTCTGGTCCTCCACCTCCTCCTCAATCTTCCAGGACATGGGATTAGAGCCCACCCTAGTTTTCCCAGGGTGGAAGAAAGGGGTAAGTAGAGAAACGGAGAGCAGCAGCAGCCACCACATGAGATGGGGCAGTGCACCCCATGCCATTAGGATGGGAGGGCTATGGCAAAAACAAGTACCATTAAGACAGCCATGCAGGAGGGCACCTCAGTGGCATTTCCAGCCATCCAAAGCAAGGACAGCTCCTGACACGGGTGTGACAGCCTGCATTGGGTTTGTGTGGCCATGTTTTTGTAGTGGGGTGGGACGGGAAGGCATTCAGGGGTGACTTCTGTGAGAAGCTGCTAGCAGCTTTCCCGATGTCCAATAGAGCCAATGCCAGCTGGCTCCAAGATGGACCCACCACTGGCCAAGGCCGAGCCCATCAGCAACAGCAGTAATGCCTCTGTGATAACATAGTTAAGAAGAGGAAAAAAACCCAGCAACAACAATTACAGACAAAGAAAGGAGTGAGAATATGTGAAAGGAACAGCTCTACAGACACCAAGGTCAGTGAAGGAGGGGGATGAGATGGTCCAGGCACCAGAACAGAGATTCCCCTGCAGCCCGTGGTGAAGACCATGGTGAGGCAGCCTTTACCCCTGCAGCCCATGGAGGTCTGTAGTGGTGCAGGCTCCTGGCAGGACCTGTGAACCAGTAAAGAGAGGAGCCCATGTTGGAGCAGGTTTGCTGGCCCCATCACAGGGGACCCAGGCTGAAACAGTCTGTTCCTGAAGGACTGTACCCCATGGAAGGGACCCAGGCTGCTGTGGGAAAGACTCATGTTGGAGAAGTTCATGGAGGACTGTCTCCTGTGGGAGGGACCC